AATCGTTATTATTAATTCGATTAATTTTCCACATGTTCGTTTTGCGACAGACGAGAAATCAAACGCGGAAGATTGAATTCTTGAAAGCGATCATCTTTGCAGCCATCGGCCGGAGAAAACGTTAAGGGGATAATGAGGACAGGCAGCCAGGCGCAGGGTGGTAATAAGGTGGCTTGTGGAGCGGCTGGGATGCTAGTCACGTTTCCAGCCGCTGACAGCTGCGGCTTATACGTATGACGTGGTATCAACCCCAAATTTCCCCGACTAGACACGTCGTGTCTTCGCTGCCCTAAGACCCTGGAATGCACTCGAACCTCCACCTGTCACACTATGGCGCATCTACAGCGACGCGCGAGGGATAGCTCTTTGATTCTTCTCGAAAGAAAGATTCATCTCTTTCATCGTGTATATTACGTTTAATACATCAAACTATCGAAGCAAAGTAATTTCGTTAACTATAGGTTTGCTTATTATAGGTTATCGAAAATATTTGAATGCGATTAAAATGCTATTACTTCGCAAAACACTATTCTTGCTAATTTGAAGCATACTTTCTTAAATACGCGATATGTTTCGTATAATCAGGAAAAAGATATGACGACAGAGCTGGTGTAAGAAAAAAAAGAGGAATAGAGGAACAACGACGGGGACAAACATAGAATGCCTATATCATAGGATACGGGAGAATAATTTTGCTCGAAGAGACCTTGATTTCAGCATTTGAGTCATCACCCCTCGCTTCGTAATTATTGATTTTCCGCGCTGCCCTAACTCCCCTAACTTTATAGAGAGCAAGATAGAGAAAGCGAGAGAGAAAGAGAGAGAAGATTGAGAGAAGGCAAGGAACGGCGTAAGCGAGAGAGTCGAAAATGCCTTTTGTCCCCTCTCGTAACGCATAACGTACGACCGTATAACTCCACTACTACTTACGATTACTATCTCTATCAATAATTTAAAGTGTTTCAAACACATGCCTGCGTTCGTTCTTTTACAAAAATTTAAAGACATCCTTAATTTTTAGAAGTGCAGCGTATTGTAAGCTTTGATAATACTACGTTATTTACATTTATACATTTTTAATAATTTCTATAAATTAAAAATTACATATGTATATATATATTTTATATTTTATATAAATATATATAATGTATACATTTTTTTCTTTGCGATTCTATTACTGATATATCGATATAATATATAAGAATCATATTGGACATCAATATTTTTTAGAACAATACTAAATTTTATTTTTTTGTAATTGGAAACTATCATATCAAGAACAACATTAGTATCTACATAAATTTAGCGTTCTTTTTATGTATATAATTTGATTTCTAAGTCGGAAGATTCTGTCTGTGAATGACTAAATGAATTGCCCGCAACAATATCCAGTGTCAATATTAATATGAATTTGAATATATATATACGTCGCTTCTATACAATATCGCGTTTTATAACGCGACAGACAAGACATCGAAATCCTCACCTCTGCCGAGACTGGACGGAGACATAGACATTCCCGGCCTGCTACTGTCGAAGGTGCCGGGTCTCTCTGGCATTTTCATGACATTGTCCTGCTGGCCGCTCGCTGCGGGCACATCGGCAGCAACTGTCGGGCTGGATGTAGTAGTGGTCGTCGATGCCGTCGTAATGGTTATGCTGGCGATGCTGTTCGCATTAGGATTTCCGGCAGGATTCGTGGTATTGCCGCTATCATTGGCACTATTATTGCCGTTGGTCGTTGCCTTATTGCCAACTCCGTTGCCATTCACGTTTGCGGCGTTGACGTTGTTAACACCACCGTTGCTTGCCGTGGTGCAGCTGCTCACGGCGGCGACACTGACCACTCCGTCCCTCGTGATATCCTGGATCGCACTGGCCGCTCTGGAGCCCACTCCCGCAGGTTGCAGGATTGTGTACTGTTTCGAGGAATCGGGGCTGGTAACGGCAGGTAGACCGCCAGGAGGGCTCTTGCTGGGGGATACAGAATTGGAGGCTACGTTGTGAGTCGTCACGTGATGGGTCTCTTCCTTCGAGGACTTGAGCTGCAACAGAGACACCGTAGACGGGTGTTTGTCCTCCGACGTGGGTGATATGCCGGCTACGGGCTGCGGCGACGGCATCGTCGGTCCAGGCGTCGGATATCCCACAAACGTAGCGCTAGCTGGATATGGACCGATTGGCGGAATCGCCGAAGGGGCTACTGATGAAGCGCCGCGACATGGAACTTTCGAATGGTCCGTATTGGGTGGCCTGAACGCGGATGTTGCTGAGAATGGCGAACTCGCTGGCGTTGACGAGGATGACGAAGTCCCCGTGGGTGAAACTTTCATGTTGGTCTCATTATACTGTCTCTGATAATTCGAGTAAAGCGCTTGATGCTGCTGTTGATGATGTTGCTGCTGCTGCTGCTGCTGCCTACCGATACTCTGTGGTGATTGACCATTTTTACATGTTCGATCTCGTTCCCTATCGTTCGATCTATCTCGATCGCTTTCGTCTTTGTCAGCTGTTGGATCGGACATGTCGATTTCAAGTTCGTTGGACGAATCATCGACCAACTCGTTGAAATCTGGCGGATCGTATCGGGAATACTTATCTGATTGTCTTCCCTGAGAGTCAATGTGTGTACTCACCATGTTCCTGTCATTTCTATCTTTGCTCGATAATGATCGAACGGAAACCGGTCTGATTTTTGGCAGTTCGTTCTGATTGACGTTACTGACTTGAGACTGAATATTCGCGCATTCGTTCTCTATCTTGAGAAGATTATCCAAGTCCTTTTTAGTTTTAATCGGATGTTGTTGTTGCTTCGAATCCTGTCTATTTTGCTGTTGCATTTTACCAGATCGATCCTGCTGTCCGCGAAAAGTTATCACGTCCTTCAATGAACAACCAGTGTCGTTGCTCGTATTCGAAGATGTTGATGAGGGCGATAATTTAGGATTTTCTTTCTTTTCTTCAAAGAGATTTTCGAAGTTAGACTCATATCTATCTTCGTCCGAATTGCCTCTTTGATACAGAGATCCTCTAGGTCCAGGCCAGCTACCTGACAAACTCTTCAAGGCGGCCTCTGTTTCTCTTATTAAAGTCTCGTCATCTTCGGGTTCCTCGCAGTGCTTGCTGGATTTTCTAGCGGGACTACCTGAATTACCCGATGCAAACGCGCGTTTCTTCTGAGGCAGCGGTATGTTTTTGTTAGGATCAACAACGTCGATCGTCTTTCGCGCGTCGTCGTCGCGAACGCTTTTCCTCCTTCGCTTCACGGCGGCGTCAGTCGGCTCCATCTCTTGCGGCGTGTTCGTCTGCAGGCCCTTCTTGTTGATCAACAATTGCTGCTGCAACGGCTGCTGCGTCTGTTTAGGATTCTGCGTGACCGACTCTGCTTCCAGCTTCCGCTTTTTGAGATGAGCCATCGCATTCTGTCCGCCCGGCACGCTGGTCAGTTCCACCCTGGAACACAAAAATTCCAGAGGATCAGCAAGTCTGCTCTGCCATGCGGGCGCAAAGGACGCGGTGCGTTCGGTATACGAGTGCAAGATCGAATTCGTCGATTTCGAGGCCGGCGCGATCTAACGAGAGAGGCCATCTCGCTCAGGATCCTTGCCGCTCTTTCGTTGCGGTAGATCCTCAGCGCCTGCCCCACAGGCCTCTTCTCTTTCTCCCTCCATCATCTACTTAACAGCGCATTCAAAGCCTAAGGGACTGTCTCTCAAGAGAATTCACCTGACATCCGCAGAGAATCGTCGAGTGCGTCGTCACGAATCCGAAGTGTCATTCTGTGCCGAGATGCGTCCGTATATTTCCCTTTTCTCTCTCTCTCTTTCTTTGTTTGTCCTGATGAACGATCGCTTGGATTCTCGTATTATTTTCTCTAGCAAGCCACACACTCTATCTTGCTTCGTCCTTGCGGCGGATTCGAGATGTTCCGACAGGCACTGCGTGACACGCACGCGCGCATGCACACAGCGAGGACACGCGTGCTCGACACAAACCGCCGATATCTATATATACATATATGTATATATATGTATACACATATATATATATGTAGGTAACAAGTCCGGGTCGGTGTGCGCGATGGGCCCTTTCAGACGGGGTGCTCGCGAGCTACTGTGCTATGTTTAAGTTCGTTCGGGGGTGGCGATCTTCCGTCGCGCACGGAGGGGATGAAGACTTGCGCGGGCAGCCGGCGGCTTCTGCTTCGTCGCGAAAGGTGGGGGCGGGTTCTGCGCACTGTCCACCCCCTTGAGCTTGGCTGGAGCACGATTCCCAGCCCCTCTGCACATCCCTTTCGCTCACCTCGACCCCCCGCCACGGATATTGTAGAAGGGGACACGATTCCTGGGTACACACCTAGGACTCTCTCCTATATCTCTCTTTCTCTCTCAGTGTGTTGAG